TAACTATTCCAAAGTATGAATTATTGCCGTTATTTCAGAATTTCATGGCTGTTGTGGACCCGGTAGAACTTATCCAAATTTCAAATTATTTTGCACAGTGTGTTTTTAGTACAGATAGAATTTTTTTTTTATATAGCCATGAAAATATTTTTCACTTGGGGGGTTTGATGCACCCTAAAGGGCATCATAGTCCATAGGTAATTTTTCCATAGTGCATGGCCTGACATTCGTTGCGGAATTGCGTTATTTGTGTGTGATTTTAATAATTCCCGCAAATTCAGCATAGAAAATGCAGGACATTGCCACACTTAAACTGCCATGGAGGTGAAAATGAATATAAATTAAAATATAAAGATGAATATCACTTTATATATTGTGACTGAAGCAGCAATACCTTACGAATAAAAAAAAAAAAGAACTGTACACAGCACCACTACAGACGTTACGGCACACCTCTGACCCCGATATACTCGCCTCCCCCAATGTTGATAAGAAACCTACGCTTCTGGGTCCATGTGTCTTAAGCCATAAAACGGAAAGGCTCACTTGCCTACTTCCTGTATTTCCACCCGTGTTTCACGTTGCTCCTGCTCTGTATAAACCACACACTTGTACACTCCTGCATCTGCAGTCCTCACTTCCTCAAGCAGCAGGGAGAAGTTGCCTTTGGGGATTTCCTGAGAGAAGAAGCGCGCTCTGCCCCTGTAGGCATCCCCCTGTGATTCAGGTCTGCTCTGACCCCCCTGGAATAGGTGCACGATGGTGTCTGAATCAGTCCTTCTCCAGTCCACCTCCAGCTCCTCCAAAGGCAGGGGTCTGTCCACGAAGCAGGGCAGCAGTACAGCTCCTGTCAGCCGGGCTGTTAGAGGACCAGCAGAGCCGTGTAGCAGGAAACCTACAACAGGGATAAGAGATATAAAATCTCTTTATGACAACAACGCATTAAATAACAAGCACAAAATATCCATTGCAACTCAGTTACTTGAATATTTGGTAAGCAAGTATTGGTACATTAACACCCATTAATTATAGTACACCCAAAACAAGAATAACTCAATTACATTTCTTCAACATTATTACACGAGTTAGCAGACACTTAAAACTGTCTTTAAAATGTACATACCATCAGAGTTAACGACAAACTTGAACAAGATCAAAATAACGCTGAAACTTTTGATCTGCATTGCCACCTTTATTTTTATGCGAATAATGGCAAATTCCGCAGTTATATTTTCTTTTTTATAAATAGACGATGTGCAGTTTATGTGCTGTTATATCCTTACAGGAAATATGACTTTCTGATGATACTTTTACTTTCAGTTTACACTGAATCACGCCCAACACACCCAAACTATGGTAAAGGGTCAAGTCAAGTAATTTATTTAAATAGCACATTTAATAAGTGCCACGTCCGATCCTCATGTGTGCCATGCCCCCCTCATTACCTTGTGTTAATTCCAGATTGTGATCACCTGTTGCTTGTTCAGTTCAGCCTGTCTGGTGCATTTAGTACATGTCTAAGTTTTGTGATGTTTGTTGTCATCTGCCCCATCCATCCAGCTTATCCTACTGGGTCACGTGCACGGAAGCATTGTGCACAAAGCAGAGAACAACCCTGGATGGGGGGCCAACCCATTGCAGGGCACACTTGCACACCATGCACACCTAAGGGCAATTTAGCAATGCCAATTAGCCTCAGCATGTCTTTGGACTCTGGGGGAAAACCGGAGTACACGGAGGAAACCCCACGACGACACGGGGAGAACATGCAAACTCCACACACATGTGACCCAGGTCCCACAGGTGCGAGGCAACAGTGCTAACCACTACACCACCATGCCACCCCGGTTATCTGCCCCGTGTTCTCTAAAATAAACCCGATTTGCCTGTGGATTAGAGCCGTCTTGCCTCGTCCTTCCCTGCGATCACCGCTGATCACAACAATAAGAACATAAGTTGCTTATGGAAATGCTTTCCAGTTTAGGAAGAGGGTGGATTTCATGATTGTTTTGTTTTTCCCTGATCAAATTTAAATTGCTCAAGTCACAGTTAAATAGCTAATTAAATTGTTAACTTTTGGGCTCATTCCCACTATCCGTGTTGCATTGCGATTTTCATCAACGTGCTCATTCTGCGATCGGCTAGAGCATCATACATTGCATAGAAAACAATGTATGATGTTCCCATTTCTGTGCTGCCTTCTACACAGCAAAATCACCAGTGTTAAACACCAAGAGTGTTAAATTTAACACTGGAAAAGTGTCTATATGCGTCCACTCTTTTAAGTGTTAATTTAACACTTTTGAAAGTGTCTCAGAATTAACACTGACTCTGAGTTATTTTAACACTGCAGGAAGTAAGAAAATTACACTGGCCAATGTTGAATAGTGTTTATAGCACTCTACACCAGTGTCTAAGTTAAAAAATTAACACTACCAGACCACACTCAACTGCAATACAATAAATGCTGATGGTATAGAATGCCTCCCCCTCAACTCCCACCAATTACACATGCACATGCACACAAATACACCACAAGACCATTTGCACGGAAATACTGTATTTAAACAGCAGGCACACTACAAAAAAGTGAACATGCTTCAGCATGGGAGCTGAGCAAAGCAGCAGCATGGGACAATGAACTGGTGATCAGTATCAAATAAAAACTGGGTATCATATGGTCTGTAGTACACCAGGGGCCTCATGTATAAATAGTGCATATGCACGAAAATGTTGTGTACATCCATTTCCATGCTCACGTCGAGATGTATAAAAACAAAACTTGCCGTACCGCTACGCACATTCTCACAGCAGCTTCGGTTTTGTAAGCGGACGGCACTTAGTGGCAAGTATCCACCCATTGCTACTGTGGTTCCCCTTTTTACACTCACAATCATGACGCTGACTTTATCCAATACACCGACATTAATTGTGTATTGTTTACAAATGTACGGCATCTAATTTTTTATCAATTTGTAACAATAAAACGGTGCAGAAAATGACCAAACTATTACAACTACCATGGCAGCTCTTGTGTTATTGGAAGACATAGCTTATGAAAGAATTAGAAGAGAGCGTGTATTCAGGGATCATAGTGATTTTTTGGCCCATGATGTTGACTGGCTTCTAAGTCGATTCAGATCTCCAAGAGCAATCCTTTTGGAGCTGTGTGCTGAACTTGGACCAGCATTAAAAAGGCAGATGATGGGGAATTGCATTATACCTGTTCCTTTACAAGTTCTGTCCATTCGTGGGTTCTTAGCCACAGGTGCTTTTCAGCGAGAACTTGTGGACCAATCGGGTATTTCTCAGTCAACACTGAGTCGTGCCATGCCAGCTGCGTGCAGGGGTGTCGCCGCCATTAAATCTGAAGGGGACATGTCATTTAACATTTAACATAAAACATTAGTTTTATGCCAGTGTGCCCCCCCACATTCAAAATGCTGCATTAATGTTGTGGCTAGATGGCCTGGCTCAACCCATGATTCGTTCATTTTCAGAAACAGTAGTGTTGGAAACAAACCTGAAAATGGGGTGGTACGTGATGGCTCGCTGCTTGATAAGAAGATTTTTCCCATTTTTTAATTTGGCCCAATACTGTAAGCTTTGTTTGATTTAACCATTTGACAACTCCTTAGAGGACAGTGGGTACTCACTGAAGTCGTGGCTTCTCACGCCGCTTGCAAACCCACGGAATGAACAGGAACAGTGTTATAATGCTGGTAGTGGTAGAGCGCACTATAGGGCAGTTTAAAGGCTGTTGGCGCTACCTGGACAAGGCTGGTGGGGTGGTCCGATACATGAAGTCCGCAAAAAGTATGTTGCATTGTACACGCATGTAGTGTGTTGCATAATCTGGCACAAAATCGTGGCTTGCCGGTATCTGAAGAGCTTATCACAGCAAATGTGCCAGTGTTAAATTAACACTGCATGGTGTTTATATGTGTCCACACCATTCAGTGTTACCTTTAACACTTTACAGTGTGCAGTGAGTGTTGTTTTTGCAGTGTTAATGTTTATTAACTTTTATAGTGTTCAATTTACAACCTATATTGTTGTCAAAGAGGTTCCACCTCCACATATCTGCCCCATTTTAATATGTGCACAAGACATCATGAGGGTCAGAAGAGCCATCCCAGATTTACCCACCATCATGAGAAAGACTCCGACCAAACAGGACCTTACAGCTTTTTCGTGTTTTATATTAAAGCTTTGTTGGCTCGCTTCTGACTGATCTTGAAGATTAGCAAGCTGTGGTTTTATAGTATGTTGCCATTGAGTTAGAAGAAAAACTCTTGGAGATGTACAGGACATGTTTTCAGAGTGATATATATTTTAATTGTGTGGGGTATGTTTGACTGCCAGTCCTGTCCTTGGATGATTAAGCCATGAGCATTAATATTTTTGGGAGTGATTCCAATCTAGTGCAGAGAAGCCTGCAATTATGTCTGTGCAATTAACGTTGCCTAAGCAAAAACTTTGTATAAAGCTGTCATATACTCCCAGTAAAATATTAAAAAGTGACCCTTAGTCTAGTCTCCATTTAGACTAGCTATATAAGAACATTCAATAGACGTCCGATAAAGCATGCTGTCAATGGAATGTGTTTGTCCTGGTTTCAAAGGGAAAATTAACATATTGTCTGTTGATGTGTGTTGTTATTGCATGTTATTATGATATGTGTTAGATTTCTTTTATTGTGAAGCATCCTTGAATTTGAGAAAGGCTCTATAGAAATAAAACAGCCTATTATTATTATTACTACACAATAACATGTTATTGAAAGCAACTTCCGTGACATGATCAATGCTCTGGATCAATTATTAAATTTAGATTACACCTTTAACCACAAATAAAATTAATTTACATTTACACATTGACTAATTGAATTCTATTGGCAATTTTATGGGGGAAGCCGGGCCTCCTGTGTAGTCTCCTGGTGTCAGAGTGATTTGAAGGAGGTATCTCTTTAGTGAGTCGCCAATAGATCTCACCACAAACATTCACTTTCTTCATGCAATCCAAGAAAGTTCTGGCCTGCAGGAACAGCTGAAGGAGCTTCAAGGGATGACCATAAATAATATCTCTCGTGAGCATTTCTGAGTTTCCCTATCCTTCACATACTACCAAAACAATACTCTACACCTGCTCTCAGTATTTACTGTCACAAAACCTGTCTCTTAGAAATTCAGGCACGACTGGAAGACAAGAACAAGCAGCTGGAGACTAAGAATAGAGAAAACTCAAATCTGAGTGAGTGTTACAGGTTATCTGTTCAAGCATGTGCTCTAATGAGTTTTCAGTATTTTGTGAAACATATTTCCTGTTCTGAAATCAACGATGTTTAAACAGCGTCACAGTGATTTGAAGGAGGAATCGCTTCAGTGAGCCTCCCATAGATATGACAGCTAATTATTACTTTGATCATCTAGTCCAAGAAAGACATGCTCTGCAGAATCAGCTGAAGGAGCTACAAAGGACAACCTCAAACAGTAACTCTGGTGAGTGTCACCGAGTTCACTATCTTACGCTAACTAACCAAACAGTACTCAACACCTGCTCTCAGTATTTACCCATCTCAGTATTTGTTTATCAGGACTGCAGGCACAACTGGAAGGCAAGAACAAGCAGCTGGAGACTAAGAATAGAGAAAACTCAAATCTGAGTGAGTGTTTTATGGAATATCGATATATTCAGGTGAAATCAATGCAACCCAAACACAAACATTTTTAAATCATTTTCACTGTGCTGAAACAATTTATTATAGAAATAGTGTCAGAGTGATCCGTAGAGGGGTCTCTTCTCCGTGAGCCTCACAATGATGTTACTGCTACCTTTTATTTGATCTTACAGTCCAACAGAGGTCTGACTTGCAGAATGAGGTGCAGGAGCTACAGACCATTGGTGAGTGTTGTATACCTTCACCCATTCCTTCACTGTTTGTTTTAAGCTTCTATTATGATTACACAAAAATTAATTGCTGTCTAAAAATGAATAGCTGGTTTTGGTGGGCAGCATCCCTTTCTATGTGTCAGGTCATATTGCAGCTTAACACCATATAAACACCCTATATTTGACCATTTTTGGGTAAACTCTAGTTAACCAGTACAGTCAGTGTAAATACCCTGTCAGAACTATTTAAAGAAGGAGGAAGATGAAGGGGAATTGAAAGTAATGACATGGCCTGTATAATTACCTGACCTTAACCGCATTATGTTGATTTGAAGTGGAATGGAAAGAAAGGTTAATGCAGGGAGTTACAGTTTGTGATG